TTGGACTGGCCAGGGCCTTTGCTGGTTACTCAGCACTGGCCATCCTGGCTTCTCACTTTTTCCTTTAATTCTGTCTTTGAGTCTGTCTTCAACCCTGCGTCAGTTGTGGGCAGGAGACTGGAGCTTACTGCAGAGGTCTCCAGCAGACTATATGGTGACCTTAGTTGACTCTTGACTAGCTTATACAGTCAAGAAATAAATGTTTTGTCTTTCCTCTTGCCTTTCTTACCTTCCCTCACCATCCCAAACCTTGACATCTAACACACTATAAGACCTATGGAGTATGAGTCTACTTAAGAGCCTGATCATTTTTCCCCCCAGGGTTAGGCATCAAATCCAGGGCTTCACCCATGCTGTTAGTGCTCTAGCGAGCTAACTCCCAACCCAAGAGACTGGGTTCTGATAGCAGACTCCTAGGTATGAATTTTACCTTTCCACCACTCGTTAACTGGATAATCTTCTGTAATAAGCCATTTCCTGTTGCTATGACAAAGTGACTACGGCTGCAAGTCCGAGGTTAGTTGGCCCCATCTGTTTAGCTTCTAGTGGGAGCTTCCTTGGCTCTATTGCAATACGGTGGAGAAGCAGGAAGGGAAAGGCCTCTGGAGGAGGTGGCCTTTCTTTATAACGTGAAAGAAAACTCACTCTGAGACACCAGCATTAATCCCTCCTGAAGAGGGTGCCCTGACCTCCCTGTCTTGCACTAGGGTCCCACCTTCTAAACCTTGACACCCGAGGACCAAGCTCCTAGCACATGAACCCTTGGGGGCCACTGACAAGTCATATCCAAACCACAATATCCTCACTAAATTACTTACACCCCTTGTTCTACAGCTTCCACGTCTGTTTAGTAAGAAAAATTAATAGCATCTACTTTACAGGGTTATAGTACAGATTATTTGTAAAGTCTTCTCTGAACACTAGCTGATGTTATAAAGCTTCGCTCATTTCACAAGCCATCAGCATCTTTTTCTCAGTTCAAAGCAACCACCACTTCTAGATATCGTATACTGATTGCGAGAAGTCTTAGTGGAGTGCAGTTGGCCTAGCAGCTTCTCACTACATATCCCAGAAGGGGCCTTCCGGTTCAGTCCACTTCTGGCTGAATACGCAGAAGTTGGGACTGGACTCAGATACACTTGGGAATCTGTTCTGTGTGGATTGGCCTTGATTTTCCCTGGTGTCATCCAGGACCGACCCTGGGACTGCAGTTGCTTAGGGCCTGGTAGAGACCACACATGGGCCAGCTAACCTCTCCAGTGCAGATAGTGTCTGTTGCAGCCTGATGTTTCAGAAGCACTTCCTAACCTTGCTCTTTCCTGCTCTGCCCAGGCCGGTATATCTAGAACACCTTTCTCCCCCTTTCTGTCTAACAAACTTCCACTTGTCCTTTCAGGTTGTACTGAGCTATCATTTCCCCCATCTGGGAGCTCCCAGGCTGTGCCTTCCTCTGTGTCAACCTCCTACTTGGATAGATCGGTCCTCTTTAGATAATCTGTATCAAGGGACAGCATTCTGGATGGCTCTTCTGCTAGTCAGCCAACTCCTGGAGAGCCTGGTAACACAGGAGGTGCTTTTGAATGTCCAAAGGATGGCTGGACCTTTGGACTGGCTTTGGAATGAAGCCACTGGCTTATGAGCTTTTGATCAAAAACAGTCAGATGAATCTGGCTTCTGGAGATTCATTCTTTTTTAGTACTGGGGATCAAACTCGGGTCCCTGAGCTTCCAAGGCAGGTGGCAGAACCACTGAGCTAAATCCCCGGCCCTGGAGATTCATTCTTGATGATCAGTGCGCCACTGTTCCAAAGGATTCATACAATTTCTGTTTAAGTGTAACAGGACGCACAGGTGTAACATGCAGGACTGGTGAACACATGGAAAGGTAGAAGAAAGTTAAGAATTTTTCATGAACTCTGAAGTTGCTATGACTTTTTTACTTCTACACAGAGTTCCAGTGGATTTGGAAGGTAGCAGAACTAGCAGCAAAATGTTAGTCTCAGAGCCTCACAGAATCGCAGAACACAGGACTAGAAGTTGCTTTACGGATCAACTATTCTGACTTTAAGATAAAATTTTCACTGTTGACAGAAAACTGAGATGCATCTGGTTAATCCACTGTCGTGATTCTTTAGAAAGCTAAATGAATTTAATGTGAAGGATTGTTCTTTATTCTGAGATTAAATCTTCCCCACTTTTGTGGTATTAAGATATTCTTTCTTAGACTGGGCCTGTCACTGTGGTAGAGCACTTGCCTAGCAAGGCCCTGGGTTTGAGCTTTAGCAACACACACACACACACACACACCCCTCTTCTATGAAAACACATTACCAAGCACGTGCCTCAAGGCCCTGGGTTTGAGCTTTAGCAACACACACACACACACACACCCCTCTTCTATGAAAACACATTACCATAAATCGGCATTTTTTTTGTTTTGCTTTGATAAATGTAGCCTATTTGCCTCTGTTCCTCATTATTGTCCTGATTCATTTTCAAAGAACTTTAAATGAAATACAGTTGTCCCTTTCATCTCTGGCTTCTACATTCACGGGCTCCGCACACAGCTGAATTAATTAAGCACAGAGGGGCGAGTTGGGTCTGTACTGAACACACGCCGACTTTCTTGTTGTCGTTACCCCTAAATGATACAGTACAGTGACTCCCTAGGTAGCGGTCATATTGCATGAGGTATCCTAAGTAACCTAGATATGATGTGAGGTATAAGAGCAGACGTGGACTAGTGATACGCAAATATAACTATACGCGTGTGTATACGTGGTGCTGGGGATAGAACCCAGGGCTGCTCTACCACTCAACTGTGTCCTCAGCCCTTTTTAATTTTGTTTTGAGATGGCTCTCACTATGTCTCCCAGGCTGGGCTTGAACTTCTAATCCTTTTGCTTCAAGCTCCCAAGTAAATGGGATTATAAGCCTGTTTCTGGCATAAGGGACTTGAACACCTGCATATTCAGGGGGTGTCCTGAAATGTAGCCGCTATAGAAACTGAGGGGTGACTATATAACACATATATTCCCAATTAGTTTTGATCGCCCTGTATTTATGGGGTAGCTTTTATAACTTGGAAAAGTAAAAGTCTGGATACCCAGTAAGTCTCCCAATCTTTTTATAAAGAAAATTAGATTGGTTTTGTTTTTGTTTTTGCTTTTTTGAGACAGGGTCTTGCTATGTAGCCCAGGGTGTCCTCAAACTTTCAGTGATCCTCCTGCCTCAGCCTCCTCAATGCTGGGATTACAACTGTGCCCTACTACACACAGCAAGAAAATTAGATTTTAAAGAATCTAAGCTGGGCGTGGTGGCACACGCCTGTAAACCCAGTGTTCTGGAGGCCGAGGCAGGAGGATCACTGTGCGTTGGAGACCAACCTGGGCTACCTAGTGAGTTCCAGGTCAGTCTCAACTACACAGTGAGACCCTGTCTCAACCCCCACCAAAAAATAAGTAAATAATAAAAAATCTAACTGAGTTCAGTGTCCCTCCTGTTTGCAGAAAAGGAAATGGAAATCCATGGGGTTAAGTGTCAAATGTGAAAGGTCCCCTGGCTGGTTAACAGCCATACTAAGACTAGAGCTAAGACTTCTTTCCTACCAAAGCACAGAACTCAGAGGTAGAGAATTGGCCATTTAGTGCAGAACTGAGATGAAAGAGTTCTGCGCAGCCCATCACACTGCAAGTTAGGCTCTTCTGTGCTTTGCCACCGTGATTTTTTGTTTGTTTGTTTGTTTTTGTTTTTTTGAGACAGGGTCTCACTATGTAGTGAGACTGACCTGGAACTCACTATGTAGCCCAGGCTGGTCTCACAGCGATCCTCCTGCCTCAGCCTCCCAAGTGCTGGGATTATAGGCGTGCACCACCACACCCAGCCGCCACCATGATTTCTTATGTGACAAGCACTGTTTACATGGCATGAAGTCATGTATTTTTATGATTTTCATCTAATCAAAATTCAACAGGATAGCACAAGAAAATTCTATTAACATATACAGCAAATATGCAATTATTTCATGACCTGCATTTATAAGCTACTTAGTTCACTTCCTTATCAAGTCACAAAACAGCAGCCATCACTGTTTTTCTTTATAATTCATACCAGATAGTTCTATTGCAACAATTCTGCATCTAGTGCAAGAAGGACCAGCTTACTCATGTTCATCTACTGGGCCATTTAAATATCAGAAGATGACACATGTTTCCAAGACAGACATAAGAGCCTCTAAATCCAACCTTGGAGCCAGGAAAATATTCATAGTTGGGATGCCAAAAATTTTTAAATTTATCCACCACCCCTGCTTTTTTTTTTTTGGTTATTTCAGACAGGGTCTCACTATGTAGTTGAGATTGGAACTACTGTGTAGTACTAGGACACACTGTGTAGCCCAGGCTGGTCTTGAACTCACAAAGATCCTCCTGCCTCAGCCTTCCAAGTGCTGGGATTACAGGCGTGTGCCACCATGCCTGGCTTATCCCAATTTTTCATTATTACTCCAGTAAGTTTTATAGCCTCTATATTTATGGAAGTTCCTAATTTCTGCTGTTAACTGAAGTTGCTATTCAGTAGGCAGGCTCACGTGCTTGTCATTTTCCTCCTAAAAAATGTAAACTGGCAGCCATAAATATAACCCCATTGCGTTAAAGAGGCCAAAGTAAAGCAAAAGCCCTCTTTAGGATAAGGCATCTGATAAACTTGAAGTAGTCTCTTACTCAGATTTTCTTTTAACTTTGAAATTCTGAGATAATTCTTAAATTTACAGAAATATGGCAAAAATAGTACATCTCTGTATTCCTTTCACCCAGCTTTCCTTAGTGTTAACATCTCACATCAAACAGGGCAGAAATATCAAAACTAGGATATGAACGCTGGTGTAACTCTATAAACTGCAGCCTTTATTAGAGTCTCATCAGTTTCCTCACCATTGTGCTCTCTTGGGCTTAGAATCCAACCCATGACTCCACGCTGCAAAAAAAGTCTAAATTCACCCACCTGTAGGAATCAGAGTTTCATCCACCGGTAAAAAAGTATCCGCTTCTATGGTAACTTCGTGGTCATATATATTTGGTGAGCCCTGGGAGGGAAAAGAAAGAGGACAGAAGGGAGGGGTGCTTACTATTGTTTTCTATATTTGCATTATAAATTCTCTTGCAAAAACGTTTTCGTCACTGACCAAAACTTTAGAGATTCGTATGGACCAGTGGTGATGATTAAATACAATCATTTAAGTGCAGTAGACACAACCTCCAAAGAACTACTGACAAATCCGGAAGGAGCTTCCAATGTGTGACTCTCCCCGTGTATTTTCCTTTGTAAGTGGAACATGAAAGTGAGGAGTCAGGGGGACCGGAGGGTTTCAGTCTTCCAGCCCTTGGCTTTTAGCGAAGGCGGTTCTGCTCCCCGCTCCCACAGAGCATCAAGGTCACCGACCTGCAGCACACAGGCAGGCTCACCAGAGGGGGGCATCTGTCACCATCTCTGTCCCAGCTCCCACTCAGAGGGCTCCACTGTACCACGTGAAGCTCAGGAGCAAGAACCATGCACGCTCCTGAGCACTTGGCCTCCTGCGGGAATCGGAGGCTCGCCAGGAAGTCGGGTCGGTGGTGGAAGGGCCGGGGACCAGTTCTAGCTTGCACTGTGTGGGCCCAGCAAAGTCACAGAGCCTCCTGGAGTCTCATTTCTTCTGGGGCAGAAGCGGGGTAACGATGTCCCCGTTTCTTCTTAGGGTCCTGATGAGGAACCTGGTAAGGGCATGTTGTGCCATTTGCAAACCGGCAAACACTACACACACGTATTCCTAACACAATGGCTTTATTTCTTATGAACAATAACATTGTAAAGCTTCATAGCAGAAGACGGGAAACAGGAATCAAGTGAGGGCTTTTGCCTCAGCCGGGACACAATGCCCTGCAGGGGACATCTGGCAATGCCTGGAGACAAAACTGATGATCGTGTGTAAGGGTGGTGATGCTCCGGCATCTAATGGGAGGAGGCCCACGAGGCTGCTAAAGGCTCGGAACAGTGGTCCTCGCCAAGAATTTCAACAGTGCTGAGGCCAGGAAACCCCAAACAAAGCAAAACTGAGCCTCTGCCTCGTTCCAGACAGCGAAACAGACAGAGGCTGCAGGCTGGCAGGGCACAGACTGTGTGAGCAGAACTTGGGACACCCATTCAAAGGGAGCCACTCTGAAAGGCCGAAGATGCAGAGGCCATGAGACGCCATGAACAAATGTGGCAGGACCTCCCCTGATGCTCTGCTGCGGAAGAAGAGACTCCCTCAGTCTCCCAGTGGGTGTGTGCTGGGCAAGGGCAGGAGGCGCTGGAGATGAGGCGAGGCCAAGACCAAGCCTCCCCTCCGCCACACTCCCTCCCTGGCTTGTCGGCTCCTCCAGGTCTGCCCTAGAAGGGCAGGTCCAGAATGGGAGGGGTCTGTGCTCCCGTCTAGTGAAGCTCTGGAGGACAGATCTCTTTCTGCTCTCCTCTTCCATCTCAGCGCAGTGCTACCACTGACTAGGCTTCTGGGACTGAGGAAAGCAGAAGTGAGGGGAGAGATTCTGGAAGTGTTAAAGGGCTCAACTCAACATGGAGTTTTGTTTTGTGGTACTGGGGATTGAAGTCCGGGACTTCACAGTAAGGTCATCTCCAGCAAGCCTTTCTTTTGTTTTAAATTTTGAAAGAAGGTTGCTAGGTGGCCCAGGCTGACCTTGAATTTGCATCCTCCTGCCTCAGCCTCCCAAGTAGCTAGGATTACAGGCATGCACCTATATGCCTGGCTTGCTTTTGTTGTTTTTAATCGTTGTTTATTTGTTTGCAGTGCTAAGGACCAAACCCAAGGCCTTGCACATGCTAGAGAAGTGCACTACCAGCCCGAACCCAGAGGGTTTTGTTATATGGCCCACATAGAGCTGAAGAATCCCGAAAAAAAGCTCTTCTGTCCTTCCTTTGTACAAGACTTGAAAGACACAGCCTCTCAAACATCATCAATGAAGTAAGAGCGCAGATTGCTCTGGACTCATGGTCTAGCATCTGTCTGGGGAGTCAGTTTCCTCAGGTGCCTGCGTCCTTTTTTTTTTTTTTTGTGGTACTGGGGATCGAACTCAGGTCCTTGCGCTTGCGAGGCAGGCTCTGGAACCACTGAGCTAAATCCCCAGTCCACTCTTCTTTCTTTTAAGAAAGATACATTTCTATTACCAGACCCCTGGTCTGATTCTACTGCTATAGATGAGTTTTGCTTCCTCTAGGACTTCACATAAACAGAATCCTACTGTAGATATGCTTGTGCACCTTGCATCTTCTGTATAACACAATGCGCTTGAGAGCATCCATGCTATTGGATCAATAATTTGGTCCTTTTCACTGTTGAGTAGTATTCCACTGTGTGACTATATCACAGTTTGTTTATCTTTTCTCCTATAAACGAGCTTGTGGCTTTTTTCCTAGTGTTTTACAGTTGTTTATGAATGTCTTTTTCTGTTTTGTTTGGTTTGGTTTTTCGAGACACAGCCTTGTTACGTAGTTCAGGCTGGCCTCTGGAGTACCAGGATTATAGGTATGTGCCATCACCACACCTGACTTTTTTTTTTTAGAACTAGTGCCAGACATTGTTGTGCACATGTGTAATCCCAGCACTCAGGAGGCTGAGGCAGGAAGATCACTGTGAGTTTGGGAGCAATCTAAGCTATATAGTGAGTTTAAGGCCAGGTTGAGCTACACAGCAAAACCTTACCTCAAAACAAAAACAAAAATAAAAATAAAAAACCCAGTGACAAGAACAAGGACAGGAAACAATGAATCAACCTGAAAATCACACATCGAAACTAAAATAAAGGGCCGGGAATTTAGCTCTGTGGTTCCATCGCCTGCCTCGCAAGCGCAAGGAGCAGAGTTTGATCCCCGGTACCCAAACAAAAAACAAAAAGCAAAACAAACTCAAATAAACTGGTGAGTCTGAGATGCCAGGAGAAGAGGGGAGGAAGGAAGGTACATCTACAGGCACCTCTTCTCCGAGAGGCCACAGGTCACCAGGCAGCAGTGACATTCACGGGTGGAAGAAAAGCAGACTTTTCTAATGTTTTTTCTGGCCTGGAAAAATACCATGGTGGACTCAAGCGGAAACAGCACTGTTGGATTCATGTCCTCTCTGATGGGAACTTGGCAAGAAATTGCCAAGTCACAAACACACCCTGAGGCTCATCTCTGAGTTCGATATTTGCTTTGGTTAACTTCACTTAGCTGCTACCTATTCGTGTAGCCACGATGACCAGTGTGGGCCCTTACAGACCTTGTGTGCTGTGATCCTAACACCTCCAGCGGGAGTGAAGGGACCCTGCTGACTACACAGAAGCCATAGCAAATCCTGTGACAACACGTTCCCTCTTCTGGAGGAAACTGGCTGCTTATTTATTCTATTCTAGGTCCTAAAGGGGCCTGCGCCCCACCCCCAGAGCACAAGTCTGGATCGGGCACAATTCCAGGAGTGTCCAACCAGAGACTTCCTGCTTTTTTGTCCTCTTTTTATTGCGTGAAGAGGAATTATCTTGAGCAACATATAAAATACACAGTCTAGGGCCGGGGATTTAGCTCAGTGTTTCTGCCGCCTGCCTCACAAGAGCAAGGTCCTGAGTTCAGTCCCGGTATAAAAAAAAAGATTAAAAACAATATATATGGCGTGGTTCATGTTAGGCAGGGCATGAGTCACACTTCGGGTCTGCCCCGGGCTTCTAGAAAAAGGAGCCGCATTAGAGATGTGAAAGGGGAACAGGTCCTTTTTCTGTCTCTGGAGATGACTACAGAAGGAAGTGACTCCTGGAGCTGTCACAACCACACGATGGCTACGAGGGGACAAAGCCAGAGCCAGGGCCCACCACTGAGAAGTGCGGGGAAATGGAAGAGCCTGGCCTCTACCTAGTGACAGCAGACGCACGGCCACTGCTTCCCTGGATTTGCTGCCACAGCTCTTTAAACAGCACGTTCTCTGGGTCTTGTGTTAGGCATAGGAGGGTACAGCAAACCAAACAGAGCAAAAATCACTGCGTCCTCCAGCCTTTCTCCCCTCACCTGATAAACACAGTTCTCCCCACCACCTCCCAGGCCTCCTCCAACACTCAAGAGTTAGAAGCCTTGGGCCAATTCTTGGGCCCCAAAGCAGAACACAAATACTGTTTAAATTTAGAAAACAAAAAGGCAAAAGAAGGTGAGCTGACTAAGTTAAGCGTCAAGCTTCGAGCTGTTTCCCTGGAGAAGGCCTGCCGCAGATAATAATGCTTCCCAGGGTGGGGCAAGATAGGCTCTGAGGAGGCAGGGGCCCTCGACCAACCCAGGCCCCTGAGGGTCCATCCCCTCCACCTATGCAACCTCGAAAGCGGTGCCTGGATTGCACTTATTAAGAAGCTATGGGGAGCTCACTTTGGCAGTGTCACATATGTTAAAAGACGCAATGGGGGAGGCAGGGATTCAGCTCAGTGGTGCTGTGCCTGCCCTGTAAGCATAAGGTCCTGAGTTCGATCCCCGGTATCTAAAAAAAATAAAAAAGAAGCTATGAAAGGAGTTTCCAGCTAGGTGTGGTGGTGCACGCCTGTAACCCTAGCACTCAGGAGGCTGGGGCAGAGGAATGCTTCGAGTTTGAGGCCAGCCTGGGATACACAGTGAGTTCAAGGCCAGCCTGAAGTAGAGATCCTATCTCAAAAACAAACAAACATACAAAAAGTGTTTGTAGAGGGTTTATATTGTCCACCTTTCCGAGTGACTTCTCGGATCTAGGAAATGATTCAGCCTCTGGGAGGAGGTGCAGAGATACCTATCATCCCTGTGGGGTTGGGAGGGTGGAAAATGGACAGAGCTTCAGAAAAATCTTACACTGCTATCTATCTCCTTCACTGGAGCACATTAGTAGATGGAACGCTACTTGTATAATTTCTCTTTCTATTTCTGAATCTACTCCTTTAGATTAGTCCCTGCTTCTCTGCTTTATAAAATAGGATGTCCCTAAGTATACAAAACTGTGGAAAACAGAGAAATCACCATAATTTATGACCTACATAAAACAATATTTTGTTCTATTTCTATCATTTCTTCTGAACTTATTTTTAAAAGTTGACCCTCTTATGGTGGGGTGTTCAATTTTGTTTTTGGCTCTTGGTTTGCTTTTAAAATCTCAAGAAAGATAGTAGATGTTCCTGAAGAACAAGCCAGTAAAAAGCCTTCTTTCTTATTTTTAAAGAGTGAACTCTGGAAATTATGTCAGAGCCAATTAGCTCTGCTATTTGAGAAAAATTACAGAAACAAATCAGCAGAGCAGCAGCACATTCATAAAAAAGGGCAAAAATGTAAGATATTGTAAACATCCTCTTATAGAAATCATGCCAAAGTGAATCAAGACAAGTGCAGAGTGATGAATTCTCGGACAAGGAGGAAGTAACAGGTACAATCTACAAGGTTTGGCTGAGCTTTTCATTCTGTCTAGAGTGATCCACCCAACAAGCAAAGCTGTTCCCACTGGGAGAGAATCAGACGGTTAAGAGGGGATGCGCGAAGGGGGTGTCTGTGGCTGCACACCGTCCATCAGTGGACACTTTAAAGGCCTTCCCACTGCGGTTCATCCCTGGGCTGGGCTGATTTCATTATCTCGACCAACAGCTTTAGAAAGTGCTTCTAACAGTGGCTGACAAATAACAGGTAGCTATTGTGTTTCTCTAAAAATAAGACCTAGCCAGAAAATAACCAGCCTTGAAAACTAGAGATCAAAACTGCCACCGGCAGGCAAGGACAGGCTGATTAGGGCTGGCATTTTGTGATCTCTAGTTTTCAAGGCTCATTATTTTCCGGCTAGGTCTTATTTCTCAGGAAAGAGAGTATGATAACATTTGGAACATGCCCCTTAACCTAAAAAGCCCAGCCTGCTAAATCCAAGTCCAGTGCTCTTTTCACTGACCTGCGCAGGGCAGGACTGGCCACCAGAGGCTGTAGGAGGAGCCGGGGGGCTGCACTGTGGGAGCACACACAGGTTGGCAGCATATTTACACGGTGAGGGCCAACCTCACTGCCAGGGAGCCAAGGGCAGAAGGCACCTTAAATCGAAGTAGTTAGGAGAGTAGGAGTACAATAAGGGAAGTGAATGTAAGCACATGTTGCAATTAGATGAGCGAGCCAGTTCTTGAAATAGCTAGTTACTTGTGTGAAGCACACGGGACAATGGCAGGACAATGTATTCCTTCTGTCTTCCTCTATGGCTTTCTTTTATTGAGCACCTACTATGAGCCAGATGCTGTGCTGGGCCCTTTTTACCTTCAAGGGGTGACCCCAGACCCCCCAGAAGTCCCCACTGGTTGGTCTCTCCAGCCACACCTCCTGGTTATTCCAAAAAGCACGGTCAGTTAGAAAGGGGCGAGGCAGCAAGTTCACTCACCTGGCCTGCCAGGTTAAAATAAGAATGGTTAGTCAGGTTCACTGGCGTGGTCTGACTGGTCTGGGCTCTGTAGTTGACCTTGAGCTCCCCGCCATCCAGGGTGTACGTCACCCAGACTTTCAGCTCTCCAGGGTAGCCTTCCTCACCATCCGGGCTGACGCGGGAAAACTGCACACCATTGGACAGCACCCGAGACGTCCAGAGGACCTAGCAAAAAGTGTTTGCCAAGCTGCTTAGTCACACCAGTCCCGAGCTAAATGCCACATTTTAGTAGTAAAGATAACCGATTCCAGAAAGGGAGACAGTTATATAATCATTAAGGCTTCGACCCAAGAGCCTGAATTTTAACTCATCTAAAACTCTGTCTTATAAAGCTAAGTGGTTTTTGAAAAAAAAAAAAAAAAAAAAAAAAGTATTTTTCTCTGTACCTATTCCCTATATGCGTTCCGATTTTATATGCATCTATATTATTTTTCTCTTCTTTAATATATATTTATTTGAATCTTGGAGCTCCATTCTGATAAATGTCATAGGGCAATCAACAACTTTCAAGAGTACTAAAAAGTAACCTTGCCGGGGATTTATTTAGCTCAGTGGTGCTGCCATCTGCCTCGCAGGCTCAAGGTCCTGAGTTCAATCCCTGGTACCAAAAAAAAAAAAAAAAAGTAACCTTAATGAATCAGCTGTTAACTCCTTATATACAAATACAAATTCCATGGTTCTTATGTTCACACGGCAGAATTTAAAACAAATAAGGTACTTCTTTTCCATTAAGAAGTCCAGCCTCCAAGTCAGGAGTCCTAATTTGGGGGCCTGGTTTGCTCCTAACTCATCATATGACTTCAAGCATCGAAGTTTCTATAAAATAAAGGCATTTAAAAATTATGCTAGAGGTATCTTCTTGTTCTAGTAAATACGATTCAAAGAAAGACAAGCAAAATACGAGAGAAGTTTTCCCAAAGAGCTTTTGGAAGTAGGAGTAGGATCCTAGATGTACACAGTGGCACTAGAGGGCCTCCCCTCCACCTGGCACTAGAGGGCCTAAGACAACATGGACCTGGTGCTGTACGTACATCAGCTCACAGGAAAGGATTAGGCTGAGCCAAATGAAATGACCACCTCTGTAGGTCAGGTCGAAACTTACACCCTGACAAGTTTCATATGGCCCCAACTAATACTGTTATCCCCATTTTACAGATGAGCAAATGGAGTTCGGCGGAGTTATCTTGCCCACTTCTACCCCCGACATCCCAGGGAAGTACTGTGGAACCCTTTTTCACACTTCATGTTTGAAAGGGAAAAAAAAAAAATCAATTTAAATTCTTACACGTAATTAGTGCCACAGGATTCGGTGCTACACGTGCCGCACAGCTGGGATTCAAATTCAAGTCTGGCTGCACACTGTACCCTACCTAGTCCATATCTGAGGCTCGGCGAATTTTTCTTCAAATCTCCATTTCCAACCGTACAATTTAGGTCAAACTGTCATTCCGAATAGAGTTAAAAGGTAACCTCTTGGGCCAGAGGAATGGGGGTGAGCCCAGGATCTGTCCACCCTGGGCTGGCAGGGCCTGCTTCTCACAGACAACATGATTGCCAGGGAGAACCTGGAAAGTGGGTTCTCTTTCGTCCACAGGAGAGAGGCTAGCATTTGAGACAAATTCACGGGGCTTAGCAAAAAGTGCATTTTACACCTGAATTATCTCCCAGAAATTCTGACCTTTCAAGATTCTTAAAAATAGGAAGTCTGTTGCATGTGTAATTAAAAAAAGAATTCCTCAAATGGGAAATTTTAGGAATTAAATATTCAAAATAAAATACCACCTTGCTACCTAGATATTCTCTGTCTCTTTCTCCCCTCCCCACTCTTTTTTGTTTGTTTCTTTGCAGTGCTGGGGATTGACCCCTGGGCCTTCACACTGCACTAGATCCCCAGCCTAAATTTTCTCTTTTAGAGCAAAGACACAATGGAAAGATTTTGCATAAGCCAAATTATTAGTTAAGTGTAATTCTTCTTACTGGAAAGATTTTCATGACCCTGTAGTTTCCAAATTTCCACAAATTTTTTATCTCTAGGCTTTGAAGCACTATTTGGATCTTCTCCAGTGTCTCAACTTTCATCTTTCAAAAAAATGCGTTGATATAAATAGAATAGCACATACTTCCAAACTATTCATTTAGTATTTGTTGCAATCTAATAAAACATTAAGAAAAAGTTCAGCTAGGCGTGGTGGTGCACACCTTTAATCCCAGCACTCGGGTGGCTGAGGCAGGAGGATCGCTGTGAGTTCCAGACCAGCCTGGGCTACATGGTGTGTTCCAGGTCAGTCTCAACTACATAGTGAGACCCTCTCTCAAAAAAAAAAAAAAAAGAAAAGAAAAGAAAAGGGAAAAAAAAGAAAGAAAAAGTTCAGGGCCAGGGATTTAGCTCAGTGCTTCTGCCACCTGCCTCACATGCGCAAGGTCCTGAGTTCGATCCCCGGTGCCAAAAAAAAAGGTTCATCTGGTGCTGCTCATGTTACTATATTGAAACCTACTGCTCAGAATATTTCAGTGGCTCCATAAAAATACTCGTGGCTCCTTTGGCAGGCGATTAGGAACAGATGAGGGCATGAGGGTCACCCCCTCAAGATGGCATTAGCGGCTTTGTAAGAGAGAAAGAACCAGGCTGGTACACGTACGCTATCCCCCATGTTACTATGTGGCAAGATGGCCCTGCCACAGGCTGGCACCCTGCTCTTGGACTTTCTAGACTTCAGAATTGTGAACTACACAAATCTTCTCCTTCATACATTTCTCAGTTGGTGTGTTCAGTTGCAGCAATTGAAAAGGGACAAAGACTGTTTTTCTGTGTTCAGACAGGGAGTATTTATCAAGCAATACCCCAGAAAACACCACAGAGAGAACAGGAACAAGCTCGAACAGGTGCCGCTCAGAGATAACTCTGCAGAGCTTCATCCCAGTCAGAGATAGGCCCAACTTCCCCCAGCCAGGCGTTGCCACGGACCTGGCATGCTTTGGAGAGTCTGTGCCAACATGGAAAGAGCACATGCCACCCTCAGCCTTCTGCTCTCCCTGGGTGAAGAGCCCATCACTGAGGAAAAAGAGAACCAACGGGGCAGTCTGGTTCCAGGCCACAGACAGGAAGCTGGTGGGAGACGGAAAACTGAGAGCAACCGACTTCCTTCCACAGGAGAGGTGATGGCCAGAGACAGAAAAGAAGAAATTGTGGTCATTAGCTGCCACCTCTGTTCCTGTCTTTTCTGGTTCTACTCTAGCAAACAGCTGGTGTGTGTGGGGGGTTATAATTTAAAGGAACTTCATCTCTGAAGTATTCTCTCTCACAGCCTGAAAGGATCCATATGTTTTCCTGACCTGTTTTCTAGGGATTCACTTGGGGAATAGGAACTTTTATTTAGAAGGGGAAAGTGGAAAGAAGCAGAGGTAGTTTTGAGGCACAAAGCACTTCGGCAGAGAGAGAAAGGCCTGGATGCAGGGCCGCATTCAGAGCAGTGGTAGGTATAGAATGAGGGCTTGGGATCAGGCCGCCCCGGCTGTCCCACTTAGGAGCTGTGTAACCTTTCAGAGCCCAAGCCTTTTCATCTGCTTATGATACAGAGCTGTAGAAAATATTAGGGAATTATGCAAATGCCTGAGCAGTAAATGCTAGGTATTCTTATTAATTTCCTATCTTCTCACTCAAAGCTCCCCTGCCTGTGACAGCGGGAGGGCCTAGGCAAGGATGGGTCCCGGATGTAGCCGTGGGGCCTGCTCCCCAAACCCCGGATCACCGCAAGGCCTGGGGCTGCGTAGACAGAAGGCCAGCTCGAGGGCGCTTTGTGAACCGTGCCAAGAGGCTGTCAGAGGCCCCTAGCTTACCTTATCGAACCCCCTCAGTCCTCCATGCAGACTGTTGGGCTCCCTGTTGATGGGCAGCTGGTACCTCTTCCCATCCACCGTGAACGTCCCTTTGGCAATCCGGTTGGCCACCCTCCCAACCACGGCTCCAAAATAGGGCTGCTTTTGGAGGTACCCTGCAAGGACAGCAGACAACAAGTTTTACTGCTGCTCACCACTCTCTTCTGAGGGGAGCTATGCTCAACCGCAAGTCGGGCTTTGAAAGTCCTCGTGGAAGGACAGGAAAATGCGATTTTTTTTACCCATGACCTTTTCTTTCTCCAGAGGTAATTCAGGTTCATTAAAAAAATTGTACAGAATTTTTATAATGCACAAAGAAATTTAAATCCACCTTAATCCTATCACCAGAGAGATCCCTTGCTCATATTCTTATTTATATCCTTCCCGCTTCTAGTGTATGCAGACTACTGCTTTTTTTTCTCTTTATAAAAACGAGATCTTCCTATAATGCTGCTTTAAAATTTGCTCTTTTTTTTTTTAGGCCAATCAATGTTCTTAGTTTAAAATTACATTTTTGTGTACTCCTGGGGAAAAATTATCATATTCTCTTTTAAAAATTATATAATTAGTATATGAAAATATCCTTTAAAGAGATTAAGTGATACAAAAAGAGGCTGAGCATGGTGGTGCACAGCTGTAATCAAACACTTGGGAAGCTGAGGCAGAAGGATTGCCTCTAGTTCGAGGCCAGTCAGGGCTACACAGTTTAAACCCAGCCTGAACTGCATAGTGTAACCCTGTCTCAAAAAAAAAAAAAAAG